ACAAATAAATGTGATTGCCGTTCATATAATAAATGCAATTTGATAATCCAAACAAGAGACTTCAATTTGATTTAAACGATAATAAATTCAGGCTATATTAGCATTATGAAGCAAAGATTTGGCTAAAATAATCACCTAGAAATTACATACATATTATATACACTATGTAGACGCCTACCTCAATAGATAGGCCCAAAAGTCCACCCAATCCAAGTTGACTGCTTGCAATCATCGGGGAAAAAGAAGTATCTAAAAGCCTTTTTGAATTTACACAAAATGCTAAATCGTGGGTGTCGTTACGAGAAAGTTCATCACTTTTGTTTCTTGGAAGAAAGCCTGAAATTGGCACAAACATATGAATATATTAGATCAATTAGAAATTATAAATAACGAATTTTAATAAAATTATCAAATTACATGATGAATCTTCAGCTGAATTGTTCAAAGCTTTAAGTTCAATTAAAAATTCGAGATGATTTTTTTCAATTTGCACTTTAGCTAATTCTGCCTCACTTGACTCAAGTTTTGACTGCAAATTTTTTAGCTCTTCCCGCAACCAAGCTGTTTCTTGGGACTGCCTTTTATTGTAAAGTTGTAACTTCATATTTTCAGCTTCCAGGAGCTCGATGTATCGGGAAAAACACATAATAACCTTAAATGTCGTAAATGATTTATATACCTCCGCATCCTGCAAGCCACCCCGAATTTTTTCTAGGGCTTCTTCTATGAAAGGAATCTTATGCTCATAATTCGCTGAAGGAGAAATTGAGACATTTGGTTGGGAAGTAGAAAATGAGTTATACGAATTGATGGCACGCTCATGCTCCAATTTTAGTGATTCTAATACAATCATAATGCTTTTACAATTCTTAATAAGGGATAAATTGGACATTTTGAGTGTATAAAATGAGAACACACCAAGCCACAAAATCAACACAAGACGAGAAAGACATACAAGGCGGGCACTGAAATAGTAGAAAAAACAACGAATCAATTTTATTTAATCAGTTTATAGTAAGAGACTTAAGAATTTTTATTGCATTAATTACTTTATATTACGTTAAAAAAGTTATATTATTAAGTTAGTTTAATTTTTTTGGACAAATATTTTCTAGGTGTGAAATATTGAGCAAGAGAATTACTTTAACTTTTACAGTAAAGCCAAATTCGTCAAAAATGTATACATGCTAACATGAGAAATTGTGTTTATTTATAATGCTACAAAAGGACAGCTTATTCAGAAGTTAGAGTGGAAATTTGATTTTTAATATAGAAATATATAAATAATGATCTAAATTCTCCCTACTATGCAGCCATATTGCAAAGTTATTATCCATCTATCTAACTAACAGTCTAGTGTCAATATTGAATCTTACATGAAACGTCCCTCCATTGTCAATATGCGATTATTCGCTAAAATGACAGCCAAACAACATCCAATTTTTAGGCCTTGGACCTATTCCTATATATATATATATTAAATGTGAAGTATGCGCTGCCCATAAATAGATTATGTGTCCTTAAGAATAAACTTTTGCTCAGAATTGCTTTTTTAATAGTTTCTGGGTGTTCATCTAGGCTGAGTACTAGTGCTTCAATAGCCCTATGAACT